CGTCGGAGGGTCACCAAACGCGACTGCCAGCGTCGGAGCTGGTGTTCCCGCAAATGCGACTGCATCGGGGGCTGTGGTACCTGCTGTCGCAACTGGGAACGGACCCGTCGGAGGGTCACCAAACGCAACAGCCAAAGTCGGGGCTGGTGTTACCGCAAATGCGAGTGCATCCGGGGGTGCGCCGCCTAATGTTGCAACTGGAAATGGAATCGTCGGAGGGTCACCAAACGCGACTGCCAGCGTCGGAGCTGGTGTTCCCGCAAATGCGACTGCATCGGGGGCTGTGGTACCTGCTGTCGCAACTGGGAACGGAACCGTCGGAGTTTCACGAAATGCGACTGCGAGCGTCGGAGCTGGTGGTACTGCAAACGCGACGGCACCGGGGAGCGCGGTGCCTACTGTTGCAACCGGTAATGGAATTGCTGACGCCGCATCGAATGCCACGGCAATCGTCGGAGCTGCTGTTCCCGCAAATGCGACTGCACCTGGCGCCGTGGTGCCTACTATTGCATCTGGGAATGGTACCGCCGGAGTTTCACAAAATGCGACTGCGGGTGTCGGAGCTGGTGTTGCTGCAAATGCGACTGCACCGGGAAGCGCGGTACCTACTGTTGCAACCTGTAATGGAACCGTTGACGTCGCATCAAATGTGACGGCAAGCGTCGGAGCTGGTGTTTCTTCAAACGTGACTGTGTCAGGGTCAGGGAACGGGGTACCTGCTACTGCGAGTAGAAGCGGTACCGGGGTAAACTCTCCGAGTGGAACAGCCGGTGCCGCTCCTGCGACGGGTACCAGGGCAGGCAGCAACTCGAGTTCTAATGGTACTATAATCTCGGCCTCAGCAAATGACACTAGTATCACAGGCGCCGCGCCTAGCTCTAGCAATACCAGCGGGTCTGTGAGTCCAAATCGTACGGCAACTACATCAGGAGGATCGAGGGTAGGGAATACGATTGGGAGCGGTGGTGGAGGGGCGGACGCGGCGTCGCCGGACAAAAGGGTCTTGGAAACAGCAGCGTCGGCGGGCAACGGCAGTGTCGTTGAGAATGTTACTGGCAACAGCGTTAAGGCCACAGTAGCAGCAGCAGGTGGAGAGGCGTCGTCGGGATCCGCGAATGGGACTTCAAGCAGCAGCTCTGCAAACGCCACCATGAGCTCAGGAAACGATACGACAGGGTCCGGGGGTGACTCTTCTCAAAGCGCTGTCGAAGGAAACGGATTCGCGAACGGAACTGAAAGCGGTGGCACATCCTCCCCGAATACGAACGACATCACAGCCAATCCCACTAGCTCATCCTCCATCTCCTCCAACGCGACCACAGGAGAGAACGCAACTTCGGCAGAGCAAAAGGCGGAAGTCGCGAAAACCAGGGCGGAAGCTACAGCCAATGCGGCGGCGACGGCGGAGACGGGTGACGGAAGTGTGCCAGGAGTGCAGGGCTTGTTTTCGTCCACCACCCGGCCGCCCATGGAGGAGGTTGAAGAGGTCGAAGAGGAGCCGGCGCCGGAGCCGAAGGGCTTGGAGCCGCCCGTGGTGTACAAGGTAGCGGCCGAGGTGACTGCGACATTTGAGATTCGTGATGATCAATCGTGTCAAGACTTCGTCGACAGTTTGTCATCGGAGAACCTGGCGCAAGGTGTACAACGGAATCTCGCTGAGGGCTCCAAAGTAACTGTAAAGAAAATATCATGTCCAGTGAAGTCCGCTGAGGCCAGCTTTTTGAGGCGAGCTTCCGTGGCGGGAGGTAATGTATTTGAGAACAGCACATTGTACATACAAGGAAGGAGTACGATATTTTGACATGCTAACTTAGGGATGTATGAAACACGCGATGTCCTCTTGTGATTGTGAAATAAGAATTGACTCTTCAGCGGGTGGACTCTTACTCAAATCAAATCCCATGTTTTGTATGCTATCAAATGCTTGTTGCGTTTCTGTGTCCGCCAATCTTGATGTGACGTATGTAATCACACTCATAGCTCTTCCTCAGGTCTCGCCACGTCAAGATTGCTGGATACCCCTGTCAAGTTCGAAATGGAGCTCACGCAGCCGGGTAAATTTATTGACAATGTCAGAACTGTTTAAGACCAGCAGCTCCTCTTTATTTTCTCCAGTGAACGACACTCGAAGTCAGTGAAGACTTCATTGTGAAGGTAAAACCGCACTAGATGAAGATGACATTCGTTACTTACGTCGAACTTTTCCGTTAACTTCCTCGGATTTGCAATTGCAAAAACAAATATTCGTAATGCTTCCGCATATACTTGTCACCCTTTTTTTTGATCAATATAAGGTACTTCACCCGGCGACAATGGCGCGAAAGTGGTGTCTGCAGATTTCGCGGAATCGATTGGGGACGAGATAGTGAACTCTCCTGAAGTGAAAAAATCCGGTGCTCGCGCGAAGCCTGGGTCCGTCAAGAGGAAAACGCACGTTTTGTCGCAGTCTGTAAATCCAATGTCATACATGGCTTTCGACTATGTATTTGCAAATGCAGATGGTACCTGTACAAAGCCAGAATTGCAGGCGCTCATCCCAGGCTCGGCGCGTTCGTTGCCCCTCTGTCGCGCAGCGGCGCAGAGCCTAGGCGGGCGCTTTCTACGCGTGGAGCAAGACACTTTGTACCCGCAAGGATGCTACCAGTACATGCCCCTCGTGCAGGTCGGTGCGGGCAAGCTCTTTTTCTACCTCAACTTAGCCCCGAAGATCGAGAGCGACGGCGACAACCCCGCAACCACAGCCGATATCGGTGTGAGCAGTCGGCCGGAGAGAGCACGCATGATCTGCCAGCAAGCGAGACCACTCGCGAAGGTTGACATCTCGAAAGAGAAGCCATTGCCGTACTTTGACCCCTGCAAAATCGTTTACCCAATGGGGAAAGATAGTGGCGCGACCGTTCTAGGATTAGACGACAGATGCAGGAAACGGGACGTACTCTATTTGAATCAGTCATTGTTTTGGATTGTACCTGGAGATTCCACTCCACAATTGCAAATAGGGCAGATTTCTGGAGATCCCACTCCACAATTGTAAATAGGGGTGGGTTCAATTAGTTTTTTAGGTCTTCCGGCTCGAGGTTGCCTCTTTTTTTCTCCCTCCGTTCCTCTTTTCTTTTTACTTATCTTAGAGAAGTTCTTTTTTCGAGAAAAAAGTCTAATTCTACTATCTGTTTTAGATGATGTTCTTGCCTTATTTCGTTTGCTCCTACTCTTGTTCTCGTCCTTGCTGAATTTATCTTCGGATTAAGCCCTTCCTATGGCCCACTACTACTGCCACCCACTACCCTTTATGTAATTCTTATCTGTTGCGTATTAGTAATTGATGTGACTTAAGTACAAACACGTTCCCAAGAGTTGTTATTGTCTAGATGAAGACCACGTGGCCGCTTAAATATTTGCCTTTCATTTCTATTGAACACAAAAAGACATTGAACCACAAAACAACAACAGCTTTCGATCGACGCTTACTCTGTGATGGGCGGGTTACTTGGAGATCCCGACCAGGAGCCGCAGCGCATCGCAAACCAGTCTGTGGCAGTCGATTATTATCATGGCGAGGTCGGTTTGTGCCGGGCTGTCGACAGCAAGCCATTGGCGTTCCGCCAGCTGCCCGAGCCACCACGGTACGATCTCGCGAAGACATGCGGAACCAACGAGTTCTGTCTCGCCTTCGCCCAAACCGCGGAGCTCGGCGAAAATGTTGGCGACGCGTTTGCCTCCAAGAAGTGCAGCGCGGACCCGAACTGCTTGGCGTACGTGATCCGCCCGGCGGGATTATATGGTCCGCGCAATGGCACGACAGCATCGTTGCCACAAAACGAGGCAGCAGCATATTTCTTTTTCGGAGGATTGCGAGGAGAGACAATGGTATCGGGAGGCGGTGCAACCTACAGCTTCTGGTCTGACTCGAGTTCGCCCGAATCGTCGAACGAGGAGACGGAGGGCGGCGAGGAAAACCGCGGAAAGCAGACGCGTTCCTGGTTGGACGCTTTTCGAGCTGCGTATGCGTCGAAAGTGTGGACACAGCCAGAGCCCGAATGCCGAATACGAGCGTCGCCACAAGCGTAATAGAAGAAGACGCGATGATCTCCTAAATGGAAGTGGGAGGGCAACCAAAAGCGGCGCGGGATTCAGCCAGGTGCTGCGTCAAGATAGATGTTAAAGAAAGACAAACTCAAACTTACGAATTGCACTCTCATACAACGACACCTAACGACTATGATCCATTCAATCATATGGTTGTATATACTGCGCTTCATCATAATTAGTTCATTCCACGAGACGGACAGATGATTCATGAGAAGCAGCGATATTAGTGTTTCTCAAGAAAAGTACCAAAACCAAGCAATGACACTTAATGAGAGAGAATGAATGACACTGCATTTATTTTTAGATAACACGACTCAGCTGAACAAGGCTTCACAGAAATGTAAACGATTACTATACTTCATTGATACTTCCATCCGAAAACCAAATCCTTCGTAAAAATCATAGACTTAGTCAAAGTGCAAAGCAAAAGTAGAACAAGAAAGCGATTTCTAACGACGAACCAAAAATTTTTGGAAAAAGAACAAGAGGGTTTTCGGAACCTCCGTAACTGTATTTGTTAAGTTGATCAAAGACAAAGCCACTCTCCTCTTCGATTACCACACGAAGTGAATGTCAATCATATCCGGTATTCGATAATATCCATTCAGCACGCAGCAATTATGGGCATTGCGCAGGTGAGTCATTTTCTTTCTTTCGTTTCCGTTTCAGAATCACATAGAGGTAGGGATAGTACTAGAGACGTGCTTATCGAAAGCTTTTCGCCAAGCGAACGTTTACAACTCACCGCGAGCGAGTCGTGCACGTACGACAAGGAATTTTGCGGCTTTACCAGCAGGGTACATGAGGTGTCCAATCACGAACATCATTTCATTTGTATTTGTGGCTACTTGGTTTTCATTCACGGCTGAATCATCTGTCTAGAGGTCGACGAAGTTAAGCGTACACACTCACAGCATAAGCAATAGCATGTCATAGAAAATTGTAACTTTCAACGTGCACAGAGTTGTAGATTTTGAGCAAGGTCGCGTTCTTGGAGTAACACAAGTGGTCTCGGAGCGGTCATTAGAATGTTTTTTCATTAACTATGATGCGTAGGTGGGTGCGTGTCGTTGTTTCAGTAGTTTATGCGATTGACTACATGTAAGGGTATCGCCGATTCATATACTTTATAACGACCGTGTTAGTGTGGTGCTCGATAGAAGGGGCGGTGTCCGTGTGTTTCCACTTTTGACGCAGCACACAGGCAGCAGATGGGCGACCCCGAATGTACACGTTGCGAGACGCATAGAATGTATCTATTGTTACTTACCATGTACAGACGATTTTGTTAGTATCTTGTTTTGGCATTTTCATGGCCATCCATTCAAGAATGACCGCCCAGGACAGAATGAAATTGATTTACTAGGCAAGTATCCCATGTAGTGTTTCTTTGTTCGTAGAGGTATCGCCCAAAAAACCAAAACATCTCATTCATCGTAACCTTGACAAACATCGACGTCGGTAATTTTTGGCTAAATTCGGCACCTACTTGTCTCTCGAGCGTGCGTCGCCTTACGGGGAGCTTCGTGTTGTTTCCTTCTAGTGCATACCTTATCACATATTATCATCCGGAACTAACACCGAATCGCCACTGCTCTTGTAGCGTGAAGAAGAGATATGGGAGATCGCCCATCATCCAGATGGAAGAAGCGTGAAGTACTTATCCACGGCTGGTAGAGACGTGAATAACCTCTCTCAGCCCTGTCGTTGGGCCTCCAAGTAGCGCGAGCCTCCTGGGTAGATGCCGAATTATCTGTCAGGGCTTTTGGATAGTTTTCCAATTCTAAGTTCATCCGATTAGAAAAAACCAGCAAAAGGTACCGAAGAGGAGTCAAAAAAATCGCCTAAAGAACAAGAGCGATTTTAGTGAGAAGAATACAAAATGACAATTGTACTTCAATAAAGTGACTGCAGTGCTACAACTTGCTAGGAAGACAACACGCTAGAAGTTGTAAGTACAATTTTCAATTTTGAGTATTTGACGCAGAAAGAATCGACAGTAGCTTAAAAGTGGCAACTGTTGCATGGAAAATACACTCTGAGTAAAGTACAAAGATGAAGATTACAAATGATGTTGATTTGTCTGTTGCAAGTAGAATAATGATTCTTTACAATCGCCGACTAGCAACGCGATGATTTCGAAGTCAATTCCCTACACAAATCTTGTTTCATAGGGTGGTTTGGTTTACTTGGGAAGTGAGACTTGCGGAAACCACGACACCAAGTGTCGGCGAGAGAAATATAAAGAAAAAGGATTTGAGTTTGTCGAGTATTTTGTTCGAGAGAATTTTTTATCAATTTGACGTAAAGTAAATTTGAAACAAGAAGTTGATTAAACACTCGAGATGCGATCATGATTTTGAGAGGGCCGCGTCAAGAAGGAGACGCACCATTCAAGACGAAGCGATCTCCAGTGTCCTCTTCGTCCTCTGCGAGCTCGCTGCTGTTACTTCCGTCGCCATCTTCTTCTTCAAGGGAGTTCAACGAGAATACGAATCATACAAGCAGGAAGATAATAGAACAGAACAAAGCTGGAGGACTACCAAGAAGCGCGTCCTCCTCCTCTTCGTCGTCGAGGTGTTGCCAGGCTCATGACGCCCTGGCGTCCGTTGCTCGCACTGGCAACAGCAGTTGTCGGCGTGTATGCGGGAGCGATGATGCGAGCAGAGCGTTCTCGGGAGCGGCACTCGTCGGCAGTTCGCAACGCTGGCAAAGCAGTAAGGAAGGGTCGGCGGGTGCACCGGTCTTCGTACTTTCGCGACATGAGAAGAGAGCCCAGAACAGTGGAGCAGCAATTATTAAGGACAGGTTATCATGATCATCTAGTGTTTCTTGTGTGGTTGCATTTCCTGAATTCTTGAATCGCATCGAAAGTCAAGGAAACAGATTCTGAATACATGAGATGCCACACAAGACAAAACGTAAACGTTGTGGAAAAACTGCCTCTAAAACGAGTGCGCGCTCAGAAGCATCACGAACACAAGCTTCATCATCTAGACGCGCAAGGAGTGTCAACGAAACAGATCAAACGACACGACGACGGGCCACAGCGTTTGCATCATCCATCATCGACCGGGCACCTTTCACAAGACCAAGGTCGTCAACTGCGAGGAGGGAAGAACGTCACTCGGGCTGGCATGCAGATTCCGCCTCCACATCCCTAGAATCGTGGACGCCTTACTCAGCAGTCGGGCCCTCTGAAGGGCCGAAGAATAATGGATATGGGCAGTGCGGAAATAGTTCATCTTCTGCGGACGAAGACAGTAGTTGTGGTACCGCAGGAGATGCCTACAGCTTCCCGGCGACGAGCGGTGCACGTTTTTCCAGTAGGGTAGAACGACATCGCGCAAGAACGGCATCAAGTCTCGCAGTCTCAAACGAGCCAAGTCAGGAAGCGACAATACAACAGGGTGAAACAGATGGAACTTCTGGGACTAATGAAATAGGAGCAGCACGATTGTCTTTTGGATATGATTGCCGTGTGCGTGCTGCTCGAGAAGATCCTGTCGGTAGCTCTGAGACCACGAAGTATGTGCGACTGGAAACAAATGCAGACTCTGTTCAGTGTCCAGATGGAACATGTGGATGTGTGCAGCGGCCGAGGGCAGCGCCGCAAAATCGCGTAGCTTGTGCAGGTCAAGATCATAACCGGCGGAAAGGGACGAGTCGACTTTGGGTCTTTTGCTATAGTGTGTCATCAAAGACTAGAACAGATCATAGTACTAGTAGTCGTCCTCGTCGGCCGGGTCACGATGCCGTAGATGGTCTAGACCAAAAACCGAATGCATCACAAAGAGACTGCTCTGATAACCTGCCACCAAATAATGAGCGAGATGTTGAAATGGCCTCACGCAGTGAGGATAGTGTGTGTATTAGACATTATACTTGTTTACCGCTACGCGGGCAAGGGCATGATACTTCGAGCTCTAGCTCGGTCCCGCCTGAGAACGATGAGGGCGTGGCAGCCACCAGACGGAATCGGCCTCGTAGTGGAGAGCAATCAAGAGCATTAGGGCCTCGCAGGCATCATTGCAGGGAGCAAGACCTAACAGAAGACATAGCGTGTAAGAGGCTGCGAGAACACTGTGGGCGATTAGTCTACGCGCTCCGCATCTTTTTCACGCTATTTCGCGGAATGATCTTCCTCATAATGGCGGAGCCGATATTGTCTCCAACTTTGGTGTCTGCTCAGCCGAGCATCTTCTTCAAACGGGAGAAAAGGGATCTGCAGCCTCATATCTGCGCGCCTGCCGGAGCGAGTATTCTCACTGCGGAGGAGTGTGTTTACGCATCGAGACAACTTGGTATGGGGGATCAGGGACTAATCCTGACGCAGAACACAGACGACGATGGTTGGCCGGACGGCTGTTATCAGGCGCTTTTTCCTGGTGACGTGAATTATCGGCTCGTGCTGCACCTCACGGACGCAACGACAGCACAGCGTCCACTTCTAGCCAGTCAGTTTTTCGCTCTTTGCAAGGCCAAAAATGACCCGGTATCGCTGGACTCCTTGTATCAGGGTGCACGAGGCTTCTTCTCTGGAACGCTAACGGTGCAAAAAGTGCGGCACCCCTCGCTTCTTTTAGGGACGATGGCGTTTCTCAATGCCGTTCGAGAAGCAATAGCATACGCGGCTGAAAATGGCGTCAAGCTGAAAGACGTGACGCTCACGGAAGCAGAGTCATTTCATCCGAGGCGGGATGCTAAACGCAGCGGAACGGCACTACTGCTGAACTCGCAGCATACTACTAGTTCTTCGTCCTCTCGTGGAGCAAGCAGAAAGGAGGTGCACGCAATCAGCGCTGGAGATGGATCGCAGTCGCTGAAGAACCTCAACGGCAAGGGGCAGCAGCTGCTTCCTCCCCCGCCTGGCTTTCCCGCATTCTCGCCGTCCGGTTCACCACAGCACGAGATACGGACAGCGGGAGGCATCTCGCTTATCGCTGCTGAAGAGCAGGTCACGGAGGGTTTGGAACAGGCGCCAGCATGCGTTGATGGTGCAATCGAGCCCTTGCCCATGGTGTCGATGGACTATGACATCACGGTCAATTATCGCATCGCGCTTCAGAATGAAGTCTATCTGCAGGGAACTCCCGCCGGGGAGCGATGGGTCAACGAGACGAGAGACAAAGTAGCAGCCTTGCTGGCTCAATATGGAGACGCCGCGTTGACGACAAGAATAAAGGCGACAAATTCGCAAGCCTCGGCGCTGCTGTTCGATCCAGTTTCGGGGCCCTTCGCGGATGCTCTTGGCGCGGTCACGAATAAAGCCAATGCAACTGTTGTTTTGCGCTCCTTCTCCTTCGAAGTCACAGACATGGCAACCTTCATGTCGGAGACGATTCCGCCAAGAGCAGCGCTCAAACAGCTTCTTGGGTCCGTGGGAGGTATTTCAGATGACATCTTCTTGATCTTGATGGCTCTTGAAGATTTCTGCCTTGACTCTAGGAAAAGCGCATCCAATAGCTAGAAGTATTCTTAGGAGGTAAACGTAAAGTCACAAGTGCAAGTTCAACATACATTTGAGAGAGAATGTGATCATATTCGAGGCGGGGTCTTCAAAAATCTAGGTGATGTTGTTTTTGCATCGCGCTCTCAGGTTACGGCGCGTTCCCAGCGAACGGAAAAATGGCTTTATTGTTTCAGCCTAAGCTGATTGGATCTACATCAACAAACTTCACCGGGTTCAATACAGTGGCGGCGCCAAATACTGGTCGTGGATACGTGACCGTACTTGATGAACTTCAAATCTAGTTTTTGCAACTCTAAACGAGCATTAATGCTGCGACGAACATGTGTTTTAAATGACTGATTTGTTTTTAGGTATTTGTTTTTGCCTTTCATTATTCTCCATCTCCACATGATTAAATTTGGTAACATCTAACCCGCACCAACCAGTGTTTTTATGCGCTGGCCCTGGAGGTGAAGGCTGAAGCTGGGAAGGCGAACTATACTTATGAGCTTGGTGTTGCTGCGCAACAAATGAACACGCTGCTGCACGTAACCGAGCGCATGCTGCTTCGAAACGGGCGCGTTTTTACTGCCCTCGGGATGCGCATGCGAGCGCAGTCAGTCGGAGTGCAGGCGGATGCGATGGCGCAACAATTACAGGCTGTTTTCGTGCTCGAGAAGCGACGGCGACAACTAGGTTTAGATCTCAAGGCCGTCGCGGCACTATCAAAGATGTTGTGGAAACTGAGGGAGCTTAGCTCGGCAGACGCGGCAGCAAAAACAGTATCATCTAAACTGTTGTAGGCAGATGTTCTTTGATGATGAAGTAGAAACAGGTAGACTTCTTCTTGGAGTTGTAGCAGCGTTGTTCAATATTTTCTCAATATCTCATTTACGTTTTTATTTTGTCAATTATCATTTCCGCAGCCGGACACGACAACAGCGCTAGACGCGTATGTCTCGGATCTGGCGGCGAAGCTGGGTGGATGGTGGAGTGACGTGGAGAACATCAAGAGCCTCTATAACCCCTCGTATCGTTTGAATGACGAACTTGAGAAGATCGCGAAGAAGCGCGAAACGATCGAGAAGCAGACCATGCTTGCAAACGACGAGGAGAACAAAAAAGTTATGCTTGCGCTTAGCACGGCTGCATACTTGGGTATAAGCGCTGTCCCCGGATTGGACAAAATTAAGACCTGTCGATTCGAGCCTGTGGAGTATCCGACAACAACGACAACAAGTATGATTAAATCAATTCAACACTGGCACTAGCTCTGCTTCCTTTCGACAACAAGATTGTTTTTTTTATACATACTTACATGCTAGAAATGTTGCAAGAAGAAGTTGTTTTATCAGAGCAGACGTTGCAAATCAAAGATCCCTTGACTCGTGTCTGCAGTGAATGGCGATTGATTAAGAATATGACGTGTCAAAGTCAATGTCCTCCCCTTTCCTTTCAGCGACTCCGATTCGCTACGTGAATGCATTGGATGTGAAGATCCGCGCTGCGCCCAAGGGCACAACGGAAAGGATAACAGGAAGTTTCGTAGTAGTTCGGACGGGATCAACTTTTGATGCCCACGCTCTGGAGGCAGCTCTGGCTGCGCATCTCGGGAAAAAGTTTGCGCAATACAACTACGAGTGGGCAAGGCTTACGTCCGTTCCTGGCATGGTAAGAGAAACCTACAGAGTTCCCTAAGCGTGACCTTCGTGTTAATCAAGAAAAAATGACTATCTATGCAAGGAACCCAGGGATCGCAGCATCAGCTGTGATTTTGATGACTTTGAATCGAGAAGACACAACCACAAGCATCGGAAACAATCTACTTACTGGTGTTCTTCATTCATTTACAAATAGGTTCGCAAATTGCTCTTTCCGGATTGTGACTCATTGCGTGGGTGCAGTCCGCAGAAGCCGAACAAGATTCGGATTCAGATCGGTGACGGTCGCACGCAGGCGCCAACAGCGCCACCCGCACCCAAGTTCATCTCAGTGAATCAAGGAGCGACGCGCATTTTTGGGAGATTTCTGATTAAGGTGACGTCTTTTCCGCTAGAAATTCTTGACCGTGCGTCCACCGCGGCTCGTGACTTTGAGACACAGTTGATTGCAGCCCTACAGTCGGTCTTCCAAGCACGTCCAGGCCATTTACGCATCAAGGAGATCGGACCAGTACAGTATAACCAAGCGCTTCCGAATGGTGGAGTAGGCTACATCGATCCAACGACAGGGGACTTTGTGCTGGGCAACGCCACGGATTACACCAACGGCATCGGTGCAACGTGGCGCGTTTCACCGGCGGCTGCCTCTCAAGCACAGCAGATGCAATTTGAGAGCATGAACTCGACAGCAAAAGCAACTTTGGTCGCGAACATGATGGGCCTGAATATCAGCAACATCACGCAGCTCTCTGTCGGTTTCACGATGACAGGTACGCTGAAGACGTTCTTGCATGTTTATTTTGAACATGAAGATTCTCAGTAGTGTGGTAAGGGCAAGAGGTCGAGCGAAAAAATTTTTGATCATACATTTTTGTTCAATTACAATAAATTTGTTATAAATATTCAAAATCAGATCCGGAATTCGAGAAGGATCCTTATTATGGTTTACTTTACCGTGCCGACAAGTACATCGGGTCGCTGCCTCTGCGAACCATAACCGATCTTTTAAACGCGAATTTGAAAAACTTTGCGGGCACTGTCAGCAAACTCGACCACCGGATGCTAGTGCGCAGTCAGAGCGGCCTTGGCGTGGTATCGAACAAGGGAGCTGGAGGTGTGTCTGCGTTGTCAACAGGCGTGCAATGGCGTGACGGGTTCGGCTCTATGAGCTCTGGCAATGTCGCGATTAGCTGGAGTGGCGGGGGCGGACTTGCACAGATGAGTCTAGTTGACAAAACCGGCTTTGGCCAAACGCCGAATCCGCAGGTATCCTCGAGTCCAGCTGATGCGTCGGGTTTGTTCAAGGTGAACGCGCTCTTTCTGTTAGACTTCTCGCAGATTCCTGAGGTGGAAAAGGGCGAGTTTGGATTCGTAGATTGGTATTTCAAGTCCCTTTTCGAAGTGGTCGTGCAGAAAAGTTTGGGCGTCTCAAACGTGAAGGCCAAGGTGCGTACTGCCGCACGAACAGGCAAAGGAAGCAACTTCTTCTTTGTGCTCGTTGAGCTCTCCTCTGAAGCGAATATTCGCTCAGACATCATCGACATCGCTTCAGTTTCGTACATCCGCGCTGCGTTGGGAAATGCACAGAACGAGTGCAGCATTTGCAACCAGGTAGTAAAAAAGAGAGTAGGCCGCGAAAGGTGTAGGATTACGGTTTGATGATGAAACTGAAAGAAAATCAAGATGCTTACAAGTATGCGTTACTTCATTTACAATTATACTCACGCTGTTACTTATCTTTCGCATCTTCAACAGTTTCTGCAATCGGCGAGTGGCATGGGCGGGTTGTTTGCACCCGGCGCGACGCCGGAGGACGGGGATACCTTTCCGCCCACTGGGTGCGATCCAAGCTTGTCGAAGTGGTTCTTGGGTTCGTACGCAGACCGCGATATGACCGACCCTAAGTGGCGAGCAATGGTGTTCGATATGTGCGTGAATGCGCAGCCGGCAGTAGCCGCATCACCGGACCAGTTGAGCACGGTGTTCAACAGCGGGGTCACGACTGGTCCGATGTTGACAATATCCGCTGCTGCGCAAGCAAGGATAGCAGGAGACCAGGTCCTAAAGACAGTGAACAGTGAGGGCGCGTCGAGAGCTGTCATCGCCGGTGCGTTCGGTGGCTTTGGTGCCAGCCTCGTGAATTCCGTGTCGCATGTTCTCGCATCGGAAGCAGAGCGCGGCTACTTCGTCGATTTCACCATCCGGGCGCCATTCGATATCGCGGACGACGTTCGAAAAGCGTTGGCGGATCCGGTATTGCCCTACGTCCTGACCAGTCCCGAGGGCGCAGAGATTCGGGGCGTGCTAGTGGACGGTGGCGATGCCGCAAAGATGCTCGACTCGCCGCCGGCGACTGGAGGAGCCGGCTTGCACCTCAGAAACTTCGGATCGACAAGTCTGACGGTGCCAAACGCCTTTGCGGATGCGGAATCTGTACTCGGTGGCGGAGTGACGGTCGACATCAATCTGCCAGGAAACAAGGACCAAACAATCGACTTTCAGACGGTCGCGGCTCGACCAGCTGCGATAAGAGCTAGTGCGCTGCGTAGAGGTCTCACTTCACAGGTGCCCCTTGCTGCAGCGAGCCGTTAGCTACACTAACTTTCATTCGTGAATAATGAGAAGACACTATCACCAAAGCCAAATGCAAATCTTGCACTTACATTTAATAATATAATGATTTCAGATTACCCTAATTTTCACTTGTAGATATTATTCAATACAATTTATTTGTAGCAAAGAAAAAAGAAGTAGTTCATTCAATTTAGTTTCAGTTATAGTTGAAGTTGATTACTTACATACGCTTACGCATCGGAAATTGATTATTGTTGGCTAATGGTTGATTCACTTATGACAAAATCTGTTTACCAAAAGAGACCACGACAGGCAATCAACTTCCCCTTCTGGGATCGACGTGAGCCGTTGAGGTCCGAGGTTAATCACGATGATTTGTAGAGATTGGTATGTTGAGCTTACACTTTCATTTATACGCATCCATAATGGTCAAAAATTCTATTGAAAGTCAGTGACTCTACTTCTTGATGTCTAATTAGTGTTTTTCACCTAAGGGTTTCACTATCCCCGTGTAGAGATGATGAACAGGCCGTGCTGATAATACATGCACAAAATGAACATACAACCACCAACTTCCACAGGGCAGGCTGCTGCAAGCATGCCAAGAAAGCACTTCATTAACAACACAGTATCAGACCATTTTCAGATCATCTAGTACTTAGTTTCGCCATATTCGATTCAAACTTGATGTGATTGTGTTTGTGATCATATGCCAGAAAAAATGCATGTGTACAGACTACTTTGTTTTTACCTTTTGCTTTTTCTTTGAACAGTCAGTCATAGTTGCTTGCAATCTCTTTGTTTCTTTGTGCTTTCATGAATGTTGTGAAGATTCCTCGATTATGTATACCTAATATCTAATATCTAACAATTGCGAAGCGGATCGTAAACGTTTGTAGTACCAACCAAACACAAATCGCTATCATCTGTAATCTTAATGTCGACAAGTACCGCCAAAAGTCATTCGAATATCGGTATATTTTTCGCTAAAATAAATGTTGATACATTTCTTTCGACTGCATCCAAGATTTTTCTCATCTTCTCACTTTTCAGCATTGTTCCCGAACCTAGTTGACGCCTATGTCGGCGACCTGGCGGGCAGTGCCTCCAAGAGGTCATACGATGCAGGTGGTTTTCAAACGCCAGGAAAGAATCTTCTATCTGAGAAAAATGAAAGATTAAGATTTTTTGTAGAGAAGATGATTACGCTAGTTGTCTCTACAACGATGATTACGCTAGTTGTCTCTACAACGATCAAAGCCATGCTGGTCTTTATGTGACGAGCGGCACTCTCGTATCAGTGGAAGGCTGGTGGTTTCAACAGCAACGCTTACTCCATCGGCTGCTCTTGGCTCCAGATTGGCGAAGAAGTAAACAAGGAGAGAAATTTAAAAGGAGGCCTCTTTGTGAAAAATATCTTAGGTGTTAAGATGAGAGAGACCATGACGCCGAAATTATTGCGATAAGCCACTTACTCTTACTGTCCGAAAATGCAAAGTGATGTAGAGCCGGCTTCTACAGTTAGAGCGTGAAAATTGCAAGGACAGGCGAGCGATGGTCAGAGAAATGCGGAGACCCTTGGTTAGAGGAAATTCAAAATTTTCACTTCACTACATTACAACACGTACAACATGAGCGCCATTTAATTTTAAAGAAAGCGAGGAAAAGTCAGACTCGTCATGCTCAATCGGAAAGCATTTGCAGGTAGACCGTCAAGCGAAAATACGAAGAGTTCGCTCCACTGCAAAATCTGAGTCGAAAAAGTGGGCCTCTCGTCTTATGATTGTTACCAATGGCATAATGATGCGTTCTGTTTGGAGATGTGTAGAGAGAAAATGCGTGAAGTCGTGAACAAACGACTCAGATCATGCGCGACCTCCGAGGCCAACCTGCAGCCGTTGGTGTCGGCGCCTGGAATTACACCTGTGGTGGCAGCAGTAGCTCGTCCTGCCCCGAATTCTCAACATCGAAAAACCAATCTGGGTTTCGACAATTGCAAGCAAAACCAAGAAGAGCAGCGCACCAACAAGCATATAGCAAGGAGGAGAGGTGGGAGGACCATCCTGCAGGAGTCTTTGCAGCGGAATCGGACAGACGGCGTCCCAGAGGTTGTACGCTACAGATGCTCCTCACTCCATCAGGACACATATCAGTGTCATCGGAAAAAGAAACAAATACGAATGCAGGGACACGCACCGATGCATTCAACTATGCCCACTTTGCTGCAGTGCGAGAGCTTTTGCGACCAAAACCAACCAGCACAGGAAGGCAAGAAGACATTGCAAAGGGTACTGTCAACAGGGCGCGATCCACTGTCGTTGAAGATTGCACCGACGACCGAGGATTTCTCAGCTCTGCGAGGACCTTGCAGCAAACGCCAACAAGGAACGAAGGAAGCAACGCCGAATGCTGGAATATCACTCATAGAAGACGTTCGATGGACGACAAGACCAGATGCAGACGAGAAGGATCCGCTGCGACCGTCACAGCGGCCGAAACACGGCAAGAACATGCTTTTGGCCTTCCTTCTTCTCAGCAGAAGTGTGCAGCAGATTGCAGGTTTTGGCTTACAAGATCCGCCTGGGAGGACCACAACAGCTACAGCAGCAGAGCGAATGGCAGGAGGAAGAAGGGGGAAGAACACGGCAACAAAAAAGTTGACCAGGAGTCGGAGGACAGAGCCACCAGATATCGGAATGAGGACAGATGGGAGCAGCGAAGAAGAAGAAGACTCTTCGCCCTTAACTGCATCCGGGATATCGATATCCGACGACAGCAACATGCATTTGCTTCACGAGAACCACGCGACTGTGCTTTTGCAGATCGACCAGGAGGTCGAGGACTACATGGTCGCAAATGGCGATCAGTCAGAAAAGATACACAACAGGTCACCGCATTATGGCACAGAGGAGGAAACTGGCGCGACAGACGAGTTGAGAAGAAGCCGAACATCAGGAGTTCAGGAAGAGGCGTGGCAGACAGAGATGCAAGCCAGAGAAGCGGGACAGCAGAAATTCGTGCAAGAAGAACACGGAGGAGGCGCTTCATCTACTTCTGTTCAGACGTCTCGGCTGATAGCGCAAGCGCAGGGGGACTACGGGACCGAAGTTCACGAAGGGAGCAATGCGGAGCAGATTTCCGTTCCGGATCAAGCTGTGAGCGAGGACAGGACTGCTTCTTTGCTGGGACCTGTGGCAGCATCGGAACATTCGATTTCGGCGCAATCGCGGACACAGGAACAAATTTTGCTTCAAGAAGAGCAAACGCGAACTCTAGCGACGCAGGCACCTCCTCAGGGAAAGACAACCAGGGGATTTGCAGAAGTTCTGGCCCCCGATGAAAAGAATATCAAAGCCAAAGCGACTCGAGTCCCTGCCTCTCTGCGATCGATGCGGCATCCTTTCTGGCAGGACGATGCGACGTCGAGATTCGCGCCGAGTGGTGACCCGCAGCCTATTCCATTTTCGAACTTTCCGTATCAAACACAAACAGACGTCGCGCCTTTGCCGTCTACTGGCACGCCGTACCAAGCTCAATCGCAGGTGACCCCGGTACGTAGTACCCGCGAAAAAATGAGCGAGGACAGAAATTTTTTGCTTGGAACAGAAGCGGTCCGTGAGTTTGAAGAGACAGACGGGACTGCATATGTCGGAAGCGCTGAGACCAGCAATACGGCTGTTGCCAATACTTCCAGCACATTAGCTGCGATCGTCGATACGGGAGACGCGCCAGACGGGATTGCAGGTCCGAGGCTGCCGATGGCGATCAAAATCGCACAACAACAGGAAGAAGGCTTGTTTTCGACCTACAGCCGCGAAGCACCCACCTTCGACATTGCCAAGGACCCAGCATCGCTTGCACGCGCGCCTTTAGGGCCTGAGTCTCCACAGGAGACCGATGACGAGCGTAAGGCTTTTCGCGAGAGTAACAATTTAGGCGAGAACAAAGGTGAAGTGATCGATACCGAGAATGCCAACCTGATTTTTCGCGACACCGTAAAGATTCAGGGCTCATACATGCTCACGCCGCGCTATGTCTTGGACGACTGCCAGACGCCGGTGGAGCACGTGACGAGCGTGAGCGAATGCGAGTATGCGCTCGGGAAGATCGGCGTGCCGCGAAAGGTAGCGCGCACGACGGAATTGGCGGATGGGAACTACGCGCACGGCTGTACGGTGCGCGCAGCCGACGTCACACGAACGTTCTTCGAATCTTTTTTCAATATTCGTGGCGCATCCGGAATGGCCGCGTCAGACTACGGCTCATACGGTGTTTGTCGAACGCATCGTGAGGGTGGTGTGTCGGGTGGCAACGCGCAATCGCAAGGGCTTCCGACACCTCCGCGACGCAAGGGCATGTCGCTCGTAAAGGGTATAGCAAACTTCGTGCCCACGACAACGGAAATAGTTGGGTGGCTGAAGGTTGGCAGTGGTTTCGCGAATATCAGGGATTTGGTTGAGATGGCGAACGGCAAGGCAATCTTCGAAGCTACTCTTGCACGAGCCTTTCGTTTGAGCGTCGACGAAGTTAGCGTGACGAAAATTACCCAACTTGCACAGACGCTTCCTGAAGAAGCAGTTCGACAAAACGAAATCTCATCCGGTATTCCTTTTGATGCGAACGCGCGGAATGTGAAGATTGACTTTCATCTTTTCAACGCTACCTGGGGTCCAAACACACTCAGCTTTCTGGGCTCCGCAGTTGCCTCTGGGGCTAGTGTTACGAGCGCGTCGAACGCTACGAGCGGCTCGTCCAACGCCTCCAACGCTTCTGCCGTTCCTTTTGCTGGAGGACCGAGCGCCAGTACGGCGAAGGCTGCTGCAGGTGTTGTTGGGGGTCCGCTTTTTAATTCTGCTGGAGTGGCAGGTACGGTGTATGAGGCAGCGCGGAGGATTAGTTTGGTCCAAACATCAGAGCTGACGCGAATACTGCGGAGAGTAGTGCGTACCATCGCGCCGCAACTCCTGGTGACGCAGATGTCGCTGAGTGGCGTCACGGGAGTGGATGGCGAGCTGGTGGATCCGCAATTGATTCGGGTCTTGGGTCCACCACACTATTACGTAGCAGTGGAGCGAGTGCCACTCAACGTGCCGATGTGGAAGCCAGCACCTGCGTTTAAGTCGCCGGGTGCGAACTTGTTCCAGCCCTACGAATTCAGTTATGACTTAGCCAACGGGCCGTCGATCACGACACCCTCGTTTCTGCAGATCAGCGCTTCATCCGAAGCCGAAGGGTCAGGAGCAACGATCTCCACTGAATCAAATGACCCATCGTCCGGCGCAATATCATTCGTACAAACTTTTTCGACGCCACAACAGATTCCTGGTAGGACTGGTAGTGCTGTTCGGGGGAACAGCGTGCTTCGGTCTCCTCGAGCCGCCGCTTCGGCTTATGAAAAAAGTGGGAGACGGATACCCAGCGCGCGGGATGGATTGCTCAAACTGGGAAAGATCATCGACAGGCGAGATGAAGTCGGATTTTTTTCTGACGGGGATAACGATGAGACCACGCTTTCTCCAGACGGTGAAAACAGTACTAACGGAACGAACGGCACGGAAAAGCCTTTGTATCCTCCACGTTTTTCGTCAGCTTTCGCGACTGGAATTTTCTGTCAACCGGGTCGCGCGCCTGCGACCTCAGAACTCCACGGAACCAAGGGTTGTGAAGTGTGTCCGGTCGGCTACTATTCCAACATGGGCGTGGAATGCCGCGCGTGTCCACCTGAGACCACTACGGAGGCACCCGCGACGTGCGACATAAGTAGCTGCTTGAAAGTGTGTCCACCGGGATATGGCAGAGAAAATTCGATTTGTCGGAAATGCGAATCTCACGAGTACATTTCGCACTTTGGGGACGCGAAGGTTTGTACCGCGTGTCCACCAGACATGGTACGCCGTGGCGAAGCTCAGACGAATGCGCCAGCAAGCAGCTTGGTCAATATCGTGGTCGCCAACGCCGGCTCTGAAGGTGGCTCCTCCTCTGCGTCTTCAGCGGATCAGTATCAGGGCTCCAAGCTTGTTCGTGCTTTCACGCGTAACAAGCGCGCGAAAGCTGCTCCAACGTGTGCAGTTTTGAAGTTGTTGGTGAACGAGCTTGTAAATCAGGCCATGAGCGAGTGGCGCGATCGGTGCGAACCAAATTGCGGTCCGGGATACGGATGGCGGAACCAGCGTTGCGAGTATTGCGCGATCGGGTCATACTCCGATGTGCTAGTCGACGAAACAACCAAACGTTCTCGGCCTGCCTGCATGTTGTGTCCAAAAGGCATGACAACCGATGGTCCCGGGTCGCTGAATAAACGAGCATGCATCCCGGATTGTGAGGCTGGGAGCGGCTGGACCCCTCAAGGTTGTGAAGAGTGTCCACGGGACACTTACATG